TGGGTTTGGGACAACATTTGTTGTTGGGGATTGTACCCATTTTTTCCGTGCCCATTCCAGGAAGCTCGGTCGTACCTCCGCACAGGAGAGCGTTTTTTTTGTTCTTCCCCCCGTGCGGGTAACGCTTGTTACCCGGCCCCCCCCCCCCGGGTAACGCTAGCGATCGTACGTTTTTTGGGTGTGGAGGGCGGACCCCCTTTCTCTCAGCAGGTGCTGTGCTCACAGGCATGGCCTGGTACTCGGAGGCATGCGTGGTGCTCACAAACGTGTCGTGGCGTGCAGGTTCCCCACCTGTTGCGGCGCCGAATTCACAGGCATGGCGTGTTGCTAAAAGGCATGTTGCGGTGCTCACCTGCCTGTTGTGGCGCCTGCAGGCTATTGCAGTTCGCAAGCTCGTGTGGTTTACGTCTACATCCCTATGTTCTCTTCCCCTGCTCTTCCTGTTGGTGGAACTTTGGAAGCAATGTTGCCATGGGATTTCGCAGCAATTTCTGGGTGGAGCAACGGTTATCCCGCGTCTGTTACACTTGGGGGGTGGGATGATTGCGCGAGCACTGGAGTTGACAATTTCAAGTTCGGCAAGGTTAACTGCTCCGCGTACGTTGCCCCGTGTAGAGTGCATCACATGTCTTGCATTTCGCAGGTGGCACAACATATATAGCGGGAGACACTGTTTTGGGCCCGCGCTGGCTAACACTGTTGCTCTTCCGCAACAGGTGCTGCGGGCCTTGGACAGCCTCTACAACGACGAACTGCGGCCCTACGGCCGCATCCTCCGCAAGCCGGCGCCCCAGCTCCGGAGTGTCCGTGCGCGCGCGGCGCGGCACCCGCGGGAGTGTTCTTCGGCGATCTACCGCATGAGGGGCAGGGCGTTCGAGGATTCAGGAGGTCCGACCCGTGGCGAGAAGTTCGATTCGGAAGGGGGCGAGTTGAGACAAGCCTAGTTGGCGTTCGAGGGGCCAGTTCGTCGCTACGGCTGGACGCGGCTGGGAAAACGTATGCCTTTGGACGCAAGAGGGGTCTGGCTTTCGATGTTGAGTTGCCGTTGAGCGCCGATGTTGAGCTGCCATCGAGACTCCGAACTGTAGACGTCTCGACGCCTGGGGAGCCGATGTTCTGGGTCCCGAGAGCGCAGCGTGCACGAGGGAAGGGGGGTGGGCCTCCTCTCCTCGACCCTCGATCCTCTACCCTCTCTCTCTCTTTTTTTTTTTTTTTTTTTTTTTTTTTTTTTTTTTTTTTTTTTTTTTTTTTTTTTTTTTTTTTTCCTTTTTTTTTTTTTCTCCAAATCCTCCATCTCCGGCCCTAAGTGCTGAGTCCTTGATCCTCGCGATCCTCGCTCCCCGACCTCCTGTAGCACGAGGGCAGGGAGGCTGAGACGCGCCCGAAGGCCGTTCGAGGAGAGATGCTTCTGGGCGCTCTTGGGCCCCTCTCGTAGGCCAGGGCCCGCGGCGGCATCTGCCGGAGTGGCTCCCTGTGTTGGCGCACTGGCGATTCGCTGTGCTGGCGGGGCCATGGCACGCATTCTTCATGAAGGAAACGGCTCCTGAGGGAAACGGGTCCTGAGGTTTTTCTCCGATTTCGGCTTCCCGGGGCCCTCCAGCGATGCGCGACGCCGACGACACGCGATGAGCGACCACGACAACGACGCGTTGCAACGACGACAGCGACGACGACGCGTTGCGACGACGACGACGACGCGGTGCGACGACGTCGACGACGACGGCGACGACGGCGACGATGAGCGACTAGCGACGACGACGACTCGCGGCGATGATGACGACGGGTGTGTTTAGGATTTCGAGGGGGATCCAGCCGCGGCGAGAGCGTGACAGGAGGCGCAAGTGGGCCAGAAACGTGAATCTTCGATCCTCGAACCTTGAACGACGACGCCCCCTGAGTTCTCCAATGGTCTCCCAATTGGGTGCTGGAGGCGTTTGCCAAGGCCTCCGGAGTACCCTGGGGCCTCGCATGGGCCGAATGCGTGCAAGAACCTGCATCGAGCCCTGACCCTCGAAGAAGAGAAAACAGCATAACCATGAATTGTTCATGCCCGCCATTCCCTGAAAGCCAAATGACCCTGACCCCCAAATTGTTTTCAATGGAATTCGTCTGGCTCGCTGCTGCTTTGCACGTTAGGGGCGTGTCTTGCTACGGAGGCGTCAGGGGCGCTTTCGTTCGCGCGCGTGCGCTGGTTGGGATTCCTCGGGCGACTCTTACCAGCCCGTGGCATCGCGGCTGTTTGCCCGCAGGCGTTCTTTTTGCGAAGCACGCAGGGGGAATCATTCTGTGGGCGTTGGTGTCATGTCGGCCACGCAGTGGAGCGCGCCGCCATGTGATCAGCAGTGCCGGCCCGTTGTGCGATTGCGGCGTCGCCGGCCCGTCAGACGGTCGCGCCATTGGCGTTGCGTGCGGTAGATGTGCGCACGTGCGTGGCAGTGCGATGCTGGCCTTGCGCGGCTGGGTCGGACCGGCGCGGGCGGTGTTGCTCTTGCGCGCAACAATGCAAGGTCGCGCGACGCATCGGACGCATGTGAGCTGGAACGGTCAATACCGGCATTTAGATAGACTGCGAGCGTCATTTGCCTGTCGTTTAGCAATTGGCATCATGGTTCACGGCGGCGTGGGCAAGTGCTGGTCCACGTGGAGAACGACAACAACAAAGGAGGCCAGAGTAATTCTCCCGGCGAAGGGCCCAAGCACATGCGAGTGCGAGTGCTGTAAGGCAGGTCCCTATGGGTCGGGGGCGGCTACGAGGGGTGTGATGACTAGGGGGGGGATATTATGGCGTGGGCCATGATACTTGCCCAGATCTCATGGCGCCTCTTCTTATCTGATTACGTCCCCGGCCCCCCCCCCTTGGGACCGCGCACATGCCGCCGGCCATGATTTGCGCCCCCCCCCCCCTTGGACGCTCCCCTCCTGGCCGCCCCCGAATGGGGCCACGCAGCTCCGGTGGAGCTCCCCACGGGGGCCTCGAGGCGTGGGGTGGGCCGAAGTCGGGTGCGGGGCCGCCGTGGGGAGCCTGCCGCGGGGGCCTCCAGAGGAGCGCCTTGTGGGGCCGCGAGGCGTGTGAGGGGCCTTGCGAGTCGGACGCGGGGCCGCCATGCGGGCCCTCCCGCTGGGCAGGGGTTCGGGTATGGCCAGGACCCCGGGTAAGGGGACTCGGTTAGTGGTAGGGCCCTGGGGCCCCTGAATTGGCCAGATCCACTAAACCAGGTTTGCCGCAGCTGGTGTTTTTCGGGTGACGGCAGTTCCGGTTAGTGGAAATGGGACGGGGGGGACGCCCCCGGTACGAATCACTGAACCAGGTTCCACTAAACCCAGTTCTGCCAACGCCCGAAGGGGGAATAGGTGGGCCCATCCGTGGGCCCATCGCCTCTTGGAGGTCTGCTCCTACGGATGCTGCGCCGTCTGTTGTGCCTTGCACTGCGACTGCAGTGCAGTCGCCTGGCGTTGCGCTGAGATGCGATTCCGTTGCAGAGCAATCGCACTGCACTGCATTCGGGGAGGGTGGATGGAGAGAGGATGGAGAGGCGGACGGGTAAGGATTGAGGAGGGAGGGGGCGGGGCGAAGTCACCCAGTGCCGCCAACGTGGCAACAGGTTGAAACAAAACAACAAACACACCAAAATAGAAGCAACAAAAAACATCGACAGGTCTAACAAAAACTATCAATCAAATCTTTCGGAACTTATGCTGGCGCAGACGTCCGATCACCGATATTCTTTGTCTGGCCTTTTTTGTTTTTTGTTTTTTTATACCTTTTTCATTTTTTTTGCAACAAGTCTTTGTAGACCCCCCCTCACTTTCGAAAGTTCCTACACGTCCGCGGGCAACCAGACAAGCAGCGTATGATTATGCACCCTTCCGCCTCCTGCCTCTGGGGAGTGATTTGGGGAGTGATTCAATCAGATTGATCATGAAACCGCGACTGGTTATATTCGACGACCCTGTTTGTAATGATCACTGTGTTACACACAGAGGACGCCCATTCCATCAGGAGGTAACAGTTGGAGCGCCATCCCCGCTTGAGGCAACAGTTTCCAACATATTGCCTTCCCCTGTCTCTCTCATCCATAGTCCTCGCCTCTTTACACTATGATCCGCCCTTGGAAGAATGATTGCGTCTAACCGACTCACAGACAAGTGACATACCATAAAACAACAATTTAAACAAGAGGCAGCAATTGCCAAGGTACTGTCTTGTCTTGTACATCGTGAGGAGGGGTTTTAACAACTAAACAAACCATTTTTTAAAACCAAACAGCAATAGACAGGTCCAAACAAACCAAAACATCAGGGCTCCGACAAAGAATCTCGATGTTCGGACGTCTGCTCCAGCATACGTTCATTTGTTTGATCAATCTTTTTTGTTTTAAGATTTTTTTTAAACAAGGACTGGCCGATTTTTTTGTAATGCCACGTCGGCGGCGCTGGGTGACTCCGCCCCCCCGTTGCTACTCTGTGATTTTTGAGTTGACGTTGATACTGGGGACTGCATGTGAATGTACATCCGTTGATACATGATCAGTGCCGTGCCGGTTGAAACATATTTACGCAACGTCGCCAATTCTCACATCTACCCTCTGTCCTTTGACCCCCGAAGGCTTGTGCTTCTGATGTCTTACTGCGCGTCCTGAACACAACTACCCTGGCGCGACCCCAACGAGGTGTCCTCTTTGCCCGAAGCATGTCAAGACCGTTCAGATTTCTTGCGCTCCTTGGCTTGGAGTTGCTTGGCATTGCTGGGCATTTTTTTTTTTTTTTTTTTTTTTGCGTTGCTGGACGTTGCTTGGCATTGCTTGGCATTGTTTGGCATGGCCCAACACTATTCGGCATTGCTTGGCATTGCTCTGCATTGCTTGGCCTTGCGTGGCGTTGCTTGGCCTGGCTTGGCTTTGCGCGGCATTGCTTGGGTTTCTTTGTACGGCTTAGCATTTTTCTTGTATGTCTTTGCGCCTCTTGCCATTCCTTGGCGTTCGGCAGCCATGACCGGGGAGCCGAGGGAGGCTTCGAGGAAGCCAACACCGAAGGAGCTGGGGAAGGTGTCGAGGGACCAAGACCGGGGAACCAAGGAGGGTTGACCGCCGCCGTTGACGAAGGACACCGGGCCCACTTGTTTGTTCACAAGTGAGAGCCCTCTGGGCAAACCCGCATGAGGAAAATCTAGATCGCCGACCCCCGAAGACGTCGACGACGGCGGCGGCGACGGCGACGACGACGACGGCGATGACGACGCCGACGAGCGGCGGGTGGTGGCGACGGCATCGGCGGCGGTGGCGACGAGCGACGAAAACGAGCGACGAGCGACGACGACGAACAATGAGCGACGACGATGACGGCGGCGACGAGCAATTACGACGAACGACGAAGACGGGCGACGATCGAAGACGACGAGCGATCTGAGCGACGCCCGAGGAGCAGCGACGACGACGACGACGACGACGGTGACGACTAGGAAAACGAAAACGAAGACGTCGATGTCGACGAAGACGACGACGAGCGTTTGGGATGGCTGCCGACGAGCGATGGTCGGCGATCGACGAGCGATGGTCGGCGATCGAGCGCGCGGGGGTGCGCCTCTGCAGCACGAGGCGCCTGCAGGAGCGCGCGGCGGACGCGGGCATCGGGCCAGTGAACGTGGACGCCAAGAGGCTACAGGCGGCCCCCCCGCTGGCCACCGCGGCGCCCTGGGCGCTCTCGTCGCCGCCGCGCTCCTTGGCGTCGCTCGGACGTGGGCATTTCGGATGGTCTTGCCAGTTCGAAGCGTATCCCTATCCCGGTGCCTCGTATCACCTCGCCTCGAGGCCGATCTTGAGGATCCCCTCGGTCTCCGAGAGCACATCCCTCAGGTTGTCCTCGCCTTTTCCTCGCCCACCTCAGGGATAGGGATCAGTTCGAGGCTGGGCATCGTCTGGCGGAAGGCAAAGCGCACACGCGCGCGAAATCGAGCAGTGCACGGGGAGTGGACGTCCGATCGGCGGCGAGCGTTCAGGCCTCCCCGACGGGGCCTGGGCAGATGGGGCTGGTGGATTGCGCCGCATCGCCGAGGCATCGGGGATGCAGCTCGCTGTGGAGCCCTACTTTCTCTATGCCGGCGTCGCCGACGTGTGGCCGACGTGGCCGATGCATCGTCGATGCGTCATCGATGTGTCGGCGATGCATGGGCGATGCGGCGCGATCCTCCGCCGACCCCATTCGGTCGGAGCTCACTTGGGAGACCTTTGACTCGCGGGGAGGATTTCAAGCTTCGACGTCCCAGGGCCTCAGTCGCGGCTTTCTCAGTCGGTCTCGGCCTTCAGGGGCGTTTCGTGCCTGGGACCATCCGAGACGGGTCCTGGGCCAAAGACTGGCTTGTGGGATGGAGTCGAGACTTGCGGAGGCCCGCGGATTGTCTCTGTCGGTCAAGGATCGAGGCTTGAGGCTCCCGGGGGTTGTTCCTCGATTTCGGCCTTTGGGGCCCCGTTCCAGGCGGGACCTAGGACCATCGTAAACTCACCCGGGCAAGAAAAAAGTGCGAGGATACGCCCTGGAAGTGGTCCAGGGACTGATTGAGCGGAGGTCCAGCTTCTCAGACTTGGGGGATCAAGGATCGACCTTCGAGAATCAGATAGTTTTTGTTGTTGTTGTTGTTGTTGTTGTTGTTGTTGTTGTTGTTGTTGTTGAGATTTGTGGGTCTCCAGGCCGCCTGGCGTGGCTGCGGCAGGATTTCCATGGATTTCCTTCAAGTTCTGGCCGAACTCATGCCTGGACAGCACGGACCCTCCGTGTCGTGAGGCTACTCCCAACTGCGAGACCTACCCCTGCGGCTCCACTGGACGCTGGAGTGCCGGACACCCCCGCTGGGGTTCACTTGGCTGCAGACGTCCTTCGAATTCTGAGCCCCAGGCGGCGTTTCCGAAGTCGGACCTGCAGGGGTAGGGTTCACACGTGTTTGCCCGTTGAGTTTGTGCCTGTCTGTTTTTTTTTCGCTTCTGTTGCTTGTTGTCCTCGGCTCTTGGGGGCCTTCACCCGCACTGGGGGCCGTCGAATAATGATTCGGAATGAAACACTGGTCCCGGGGATCTAGTCAGTCGAGAGCCTTCAGGCTCCCATATTGAAGAAGCCACGATGTCGGGGGTCTTGGGAGAATCTGGCCGATGTCGGGCGAGCTCGGCATAAATGATCACCGCGCCCGAGACGGCCCCGAGACCCCAAAAGAAGCCTCCGATAGGGGACCAGACGACGATGTAAACATGAACTTTTGGAGGTCCGCGCAGATCTCTTGGGCCTCCCTGGTATCCTGGTGCCCCCCCAGGCGGTCCTTCCAGCGCGAGGCTCGCCGAGAAGACTGCGCGGGAACAGGCCGTGCCACCCCGGGTCGGCCCGAGTGCCGCGCCTGGCTGAGTGTCCCAGGGGGGGGGGCAAAAGCCTGCTGTGCCCGAGACAGTCAGGTTCTGTTCGTGTGCCCCGACGGCGGTTCGAGCATCAGTGAGACGTACAGTCGCGGCCACGCTAAGGGTGATGTGATTTCCAGAGGACGCCTATCCTCGGCCAGGTTTGCTGGCCTGCCCCTGGAATCGTTACAACTTGAGCGCTGCGGCTGCCATCTTAGCAGCGGTGGGCTCCAGAGAGCGCCGCGAGCCAGGGGCAGTGGCGCATTACTTGCTCGCATCGCGATTATGATCGCGCGCAGGTCTGCGCGAGCAGGGGCGTGTGAATACCCAGTGGCCCGCGCCAGACTGTGAGGCAGTCCTCCTACTGTTCCTCTCTGGTCAGCTGTTGCATCGTTGATTCCCCCTCACATCAGTTGCATCAAGACAGTCAATCCGCATAATCAGGATGGGCAACTTTCCCAAGAGTACCCTCGCATCCTTGCCTCCTTTGTTCATTCTTGGCCACCTTCGTTGGCCGCGCCCCGCTCGACAAGCTTCGAAATGGGCCTTCCAAGGCCCCTGATTCTTTGACGCGCATCCTCATGATACCGGTCGACTGCACCTTCCCATCCGATGTAATATCCAGTTGCGCTGCCGCGCACATTTGGCTCCGCGCTTGGGGAAGCTGCGCAGACAGGCCGCAGCGATGCGTGGGCGTGGCGGCGCATAGTCTTCACGCTGCCTCTCGCGAGGCCAGCCTGCAGCCTCTTTTGCGGTGTGGCCGCCTCGTCGAGCCCGCTCCGCGGGAGCCATGGCGGCCCCTCCCCCTCGGAGAGAATGGCCCGCAGTTCTCGCGACCATGGATCCATATGGAGGAGGAGGAGGAGGAGGAGGAGGTGGAGGGTGGAGGGTGGAGGAGGTGGAGGAGGAGGAGGAGGCTCGGAGGAGGCTCGAGGAGGAGGAGGGAGGAGGAGAGGAGGGAGGAGGAGGAGGAGGAGGAGGAGGAGAGGAGGAGGAGGAAGGAAGGAGGAGGAGGAGGGAGGAGGAGGAGGAGGAGGAGGAGGAGGAGGAGGAGGAGGAGGAGGCAGGCGAACATCATGATTCGTTGCTGAGGTGTTTGACAGGATCCGGCCTCTGGACGCGGGCCGTGTGTCGGCAATGCGGCGCCATCCGCCAGCCATGTCTGCTCGGACCCCATGTTGTCGGCCTCCACATATCGGGTCGGAGGAAACCGGGGGATATGGACTGTGGGCGGTACGGCATCCGCGGCGCGCAGCTGGTTCCGGCCCAGCCACTGGGCGCCTTCCTCCGTACACTGGCGCCTCTGGCGCCGACAGGCGCGGGGAAATCCACTAGGCGAGCGACAAGGAGCTACAGTCGACCCCCATAGTAAGGATGGGCAACCTTCCAGAGGGTACCCTCGCATCCTTGCCGCCTCGGCCCATCCCTGGCCACTTTGACTGGCCGCGCCCCGCTCGAAAAGCTTCAAAATGGGCCTTCCAAGGCCCCTTGCATCCTTATCGCGCATCCTCACGATACGGGTCGACTGTACGCGAGGTGATACGCTAGCCCCCCCTCTCTACCAACCTTGGCGGCGCGCACCAGGGGGCGCCGCGAGGGCAGGGGGCTCCCGAGAAGGCGCGGGCTTCTCAGAGGCCAGGGGCCCTCTCAGAAGCCGTCCCGGCTTCCAAATCAAGGCGTCTCCGAGGCCTCGGGGCCCCTCTGCGCAGGCCCCCGCTCTCCAAGGACCCCCCCCCTCTTGGAAGGCTGCCCCCCTCGCGCCACCCCCCTCGTGCGCGCCGCCAGCAGCCCCCTCCCCTCGCCCGACTCGAACAGAGGCCCCCCCCACCCCCGACGGCGGAGGCGGTGGCCGCGCAGTGCGGCGACCGACGCCGCCCACCTCCCCCTCGAGCAGCGGCGGCCCCGCCGCGGGCGTTCACGGTGGATCGCCGCCGGCGGGGGGCCCACAGCCGGCCGATGTGGAGCGGTGCGGCAGCCGGGAAGCCGCCGATCGGCGAAGGCTGAGCGAACCACGCGGTGTCAGGCACGAGCGCCAGGCGATGGGCCTGCTCTCCACCACCACCGCCAGAAGTTGGATGGGGAAGGTGGTGGAGGATGAGGAGGAGGAGGAGGAGGAGGAGGAGGAGGAGGAAGCTGGGAGAGGAGGACCCCCTCCCCCTCCTACCCATGGTGGTGGCGGTGGGAAACAGGCCCACCACCAGGGTCGTGACGGCACGGATCTGTGGCACGTGGGCGGACGAGCTGCGCGAGCCCCGGTATCCTCTCGGGGGGGTCCGCGCGCCTTTCTCGGATCGGCGCTGGGCCCCCCCCCCTGGCGGTTCATCCGGCGCTGCGCGCCGGGGAGGGGGCCCCGGGGCAGACCCAAGACGTCCGCGCGGACCCCCGAGAAGTCAGGGGTGGACCTGAGCGGTGTTTTGGCGATCTCGTGGGCCGTTCTCGTTTCGATCTCGTTCTGCGGCAGAGGGCGGACCGAGGACAAGACTGGGGAAAGCGGGAACGAAACGAAGAACGAAAAACACTGCTTAGGCTCATCCCTGCGAGAAGCCAAGCTCCCGTCGCTCTGCTGTGGCCGCCGCCGCCGCACCCCGCCCCCCAAGAGCAGGTGGCCTGCCAGGGCTGTTCCGCGCTCAGCGTGAAGGCCGCCGCGCCGCTGCGCCGCGTGCCGCCCCCCCCCCCCAGCGGGCCGCCGCCGCCGCCGCCGTCGCCGCCGTCGTCGTCGTCGTTGTCGCCGTCGTCGTCGTCGTCGTCGTCGTCGTCGTCGTCGTCGTCGTCGTCGTCGTTGTGGTCGTCGTCGTCGTCGTCGGTGGCGTCGTCGTCGTCGTCGTCGTCGTCGTCGTCGCCGCCCTTTGGTCTCACGACATCTCGGTTCAGAGCTACAGGCGCGCCTACAGGCCCTCCCCTCCTATAGGCGCCATCTTCCCCTGCCTGCCCGCAGGCACGCCTACAGGCCCTCCCTGCCTGCAGACATCCGTGTTCTCCAACGGCAGTGCCTACAGGCAACACCCGCGGGGCCTTTCTGGCTGCGAGGGCCCGTAGGGCCTGGGCCTACAGCCTACAGGTCGGAGGTCGGAGGCGTCCGCTGCAGAGAGGAGTGCTGCGTATACTCAGGAACCAACTCAATGTGTCACAGTCCAATGGGTCCCCTCCTGCTCTCTGCCTCCCTTACCCCTCCTGCCTGCCTCCTCCGTTGCCCTGTTCCTCGTGCCTCCTCCCGGCCTGCCTCCTCCGCGCCTCCCGCCCGCCCCCTCCATCCTGCTTCCTTTCTCATGCCTGCCTTTTCGTGTGCCTCCTGCCTTCTCCCTCCAGCCTCCTCCGGCCTCCTACCAGCTCCCTCCTCCACCCTGGACAGTTCTTCCCAGATCCTCTGAGTAGGAACTATCTGGTGTCGAAATCGCATCTCCTGCTGTCCTACAGGTGTTCGGCAGCACGCAGCTATGAGTTCAGTATGTATGAATGTGTTTTTTATATGTATATATGCATGTTAGTGGATATATATGTATACATACATAATACGCATATAGCACTACTGCACCACAAGCTTGATAGGATGGTACGAAACAGCAGGAGGCATCATGGGCAGGTGTCAGGGTCGTGATGTGCCTGACATGTAGTGTGGGTCTGGTGCGCGAGGCTATGGCAAATAAGTCTGTATGATGCGCCAGGTGGGGCAAGTTGTGCGGCCTCGTTCCCCGCCATAAAGTCACGTTCTCCTCGCCCCCAAGTGTTGCCAGAGCCTCCCCCGCAAGCGCCGTCCCAGGCGGAGGACGGCGTGGACTGGCCCTAATCCTCGACCCTCGACGATCCCCCTCGATCCTCCTCAAGCCTCGCTGCTTCTCGACCCTCAACCCTCGATCCTCAAAGCCGCTCAGCACCAGCCCCAAACCCCTGAGCCGCGTACAGCCGTTGCGACGATGAATTCAAGAGGCCCTCAAAGCTCCAGAACGATAACCGATGACGACGACGGACGACGGACGACGGACGACGACCACGACGGACGGACGGACGGGCGGACGACGACGGACAGACGAAGTCGGACAGACCGACGATGGACAGACGACGGCCGACGGCCGATGGCCGACTGCCGACAGCCGACGGACGACGAAAGACAAACAACGACGATGACGATTGACCGACGAGGAGGAGGAGGATGAGGAGGAGGAGGAGGACGACGGCGGCGGCGGAGACGGCGGCGGCGGCGACGGCGATTGCGACTGCGATGGTGGCGGCGGCGATGGACGGACGGACGGACGCACGGACCACGACGAGGACGGACTTCTGTTCCCCCAGACCGCCGACGTCATAATTTTTTCATGACGCGACCCCCAGAGGTCCGGGCCTATTCGCCGGGACCGGTTTTTCATCCTGGGTTGTTTTTTGACGGTCCCGAGGGCCGGTAAGGGCCCCCAGAGGCGGAACATATAGAAAAACCTTCCGTCGTGATTTTTCCATGACTCGAGGGGGTCTGGGCCGTGCCTTCGCCGCGCGAGGCCGAGGAGGGCGGGGACTGGTCGGTCGTCGTGCGCGGGCGGCCGGACCGCTTCGTGAACGTCTACAGCGCCGAGGCGCGGCGGCCCCGCGCGCGCCCCTGGCAGCGGCCGCCATGTCGGGCCAGGGCGGCGGCCGGGCCCCCGGGCGCCGTGGGCAGGTGCCGACGGCACGTCAGAGCGTTACGTCGGGCCTGTCCCCCTCCCAGGGGGGCTTTCGACGGTGACGGAACATAAAAAGTACTCCAAAAGCAGTCCAAAAGTATCCCAAAAACAGTCCAAAAACAGTCCTTGCCCAGATCGTGGAGAAATGACCCCCTCCGCGGGGGGCCGGGAGGTGCCATGATCTATCTAAGAATATCTAGTATACACCATACACATATGCACTCAGTCTTCTCCCGTAGCGCACCCCGCTTGGGAAAACTAGCTCCCTATGAACCTGTAGGAGGCCCGACCCCCACCCATAATACCACGTTATTCTGTTATCCTATCTGTATAACAGGGGAAAGGTCTAGCAACCCCACGCCACATCATATCACCCGAGTTCCCGTGGGGGCGCCTCCCTCGGCTTGGATTTTGGACCCGGGGGGGGGGGGGGGCAGCGGGGGGAGGCCGAGGCTCACGAGGCGGGGGTCCATGCCAACGGGGGCCAGCCAGGGCACCGGATCCTGCAGGATCCTGCGAAGGCCCCCTCTGGCTGGCCCGGGTTAGCGAGCCGCTCGTGGCCGCGAGGCGGCCGCGCATATTGGCTGCCCCGGGTTTGCGAAGACCCGCGTTGCAGATTTTTTCCTGCATGGCAGTTTTATACATTCCTGCTGAGCCGGGTCTGGATTGACCCGGGTCAGAAGGTCCCCGAGGAGGGGGGACGGCCAGATCTCCCACACGCTTTCTCACCCCTGGCAAGCGGGGGCTGGCGGACAACGTGGACCTCCGGAGATCTCGACCTCCTCTCCAGGGCCAGCTCTTCGTCCCGAGTCGCTGTTTTGCCTGCCCCAGCAAGGCCCCCGAGAGGCGGACACTTGCCACGCATCTTGTGTGGTGACCTTTGCCACGACGAGATCCGAGTAGGAGATCGACTGCAGAATAGATATGTATTTTAGCTCGCTGAGGGGCAGCGAACGCGATCTGTGTTCCTGGGGCGACGGGGAAGGAGGTCATGCTCGTAGCGTAAGGGCAAACCTTAGTAGCCCAATCGTTGGTAAGAGCAAACCTAGGGTCCGAACTTGTCGCGAATGGGCGTCGTAAGGATTGTTATTGACGGATCAAGCGCGCCGGCTGAGCGTATTGGGATCTGGCCCTGCAATCAAAGCTGCCCCCCAAGCGACCTCCAAGATATGTACTCCAGATTCCGTAATAAAAGGGAGGGGGTCTGGACCCTCAAGACAAGCCATTTCAGACCCCCCCCCGTGGGAGAACCCTCCAAAACATCGTCCCCAGACCCCCCAGGCCCTCCGAGATGGCCTGGAAGAGACCCCCCTCCGAAATGAGACCCCCCTCCCTTGATTACGAAGTCTGGAGCATGATCCTCGGACATACAGTCGGGGCCCTGAAGAAGGAACCCTTTTCGTTGGGGAGGGGCTCCGCGTTCCTTGAGTGTTTCGCAGCCTGCCTCGGGTTTTCCTTGTGTTTTCGATCGGAAGGCGGAGTTTAACTCATGGAGAAAAGGGGCCTCGTTCCTTATTTTGGGTTCCTTAGGTCAAGCCCCCGACTGTAGCCTCTGGGTCCAGGGGTAGGTGGTGGGAGGAGGGGTAAACCCCTCTCCGAGGGGGAAGAAGGGGGGCTGGAAGAGGAAAAAACCACTCACGCCCTCAAGGGTTGGTGGGATTACGAACAACGTTCAAGATCCGATCCTCGAACGTCGAATCTGGATTCTCTTGCAACATGTCCTTCTTTGAAAGCCTTGTGGGATAGCCATACTAAGAGGGGACAGCTCTTTAACATGCAATTATCCACCAGAGACTGGCCGAAAGTCTTGAGGAAGGTCGAGATCGCACAACTTTTCGGCCCCGAGCGCATTGCCCCACCGCCAGTTTAGTATCCATGCTTATATAATGAGCAAGTACTAGTTCTCATGTTTCACCGTTTCTCCCTCCTAGTTGGAGTCTTGGTGTCACTTCGTTGGTCGCACTGCCTGTTCCCAGCTGCGACCGCTTAGACTGCCATTGAGTTCCCCCCCCATCGCGTTTCTACGACCTGCAGTACGCGTATCTCATTGTGCTCCATTTGTCCATGGATCGCGCGGTTTGAATGGTCTTCCTGATGGGCAGCAGATTTCTCGATCTGCCTTTCGTGGTTCCTCTTGGGCACAACAACATGAATCATTCTCCACCTCCCCCGTCCCTCTCGTCACCGTCCCTCTCGTCCCTTACTGGTTGAATCATGCTCGCCCTACTGGGGAGGGGGGGGGGGGGGGAAAGGAGGAGGAGGAGGAGGAGGAGGAGGAGGAGGAGGAGGAGGAGGAGGAGGAGGAGGAGGAGGAGGAGGGAGAAGGAGGAGCAGGAGGAGGAGAACGATGATGAGGAGGAGGAGGGAGCACGCCTTACCTCCAGCACGCGCAGCCAGACGGGCCGCGACCCACCCGAGCTGCCCCCCGGGGGGGGCCCCGCTGGCCGGCCCGCCGGTGGTCTCGCCTCGTGGGCTCGGACGGCCCAGGACTGCTACCCGCCGGAGCTGTGGGCGGCCGCGGACGCATACTTCCGAGGCCTCGACGACAAGAGCATGGTGTTGCCAGGCCCTCCAAGAGGGGGCTGGGCGGGGCTGATGCTGATGATGATGATGATGATGATGATGATGATGATAATGATGATGATGATGATGATGCTGATGATGCTGATGGTGATGATGATGATGATGCTGATGAGGATGCTGATGATGATGCTGATGAGGATGCTGATGGTGATGATGCTGATGGTGATGATGCTGATGATGACGATGATGGTGACGCTGCTGCTGATGGTGATGCTGCTGCTGATGATGCTGATGCTGATACTGATGATTATGATGATGAGGGTGAGGATGATGATGATGATGATGATGATGATGATGATGATGATGATGCTGATGATGATGATGATGATGATGATGATGAAAATGATACTGCTGAACGTGCTGATGATGACGATGCTGATGATGCTGATGATGCTGATATTGATGATGGTGATGATGCTGCTGCTGATGATGCTGATGCTGATTATGATGATGACGACGATGATGACGATGATGACGATGATGCTGATGATGATGCTGATGCTGCTGCTGCTGATGCTGATGATGATGATGATGACGTTGCTGCTGCTGATGATGACGATGGTGATGATGATGATGATGATGGTGATGATGATGATACTGATTCTGGTAATGATGATGCTGCTGCTGATGATGATGATGATGATGATGCTGAAGTTTCTGCTGATGATGCTGATGCTGCTGATGATGATGCTGCTGATGATCATGCTGATGTCCATGCTGTTGCTGATGCTGGTGTACTTTGCAGTTTCTGTAATATGGCATGTGGTTGGCAACTCGATCAGGGGCACGTCAGCAGAAAACACATGCTGATGCGCCTCTCGATGACGATGCTGATGATGACGATGATGATGATGCTGATGATGCTGATGCTGATGCTGATTATGAGGATGGTGATGATGACGGCGATGCTGATTATGATGATGCTGATGATGCTGCTTATGATGATGATGATGATGATGATGATGATGATGATGATGATGATGATGATGATAATGATGATGATGATGATGATGATGATGCTGACGCTGACGCTGACGCTGATGCTGATGATGATGCTACTGTGGATGATGATGATGCTGATACTGATGCTGCTGATGATGATGCTGCTGATGCTGATGATGATTTGGATGCAGATGCTGATGATGGTGATGGCGATGCTGATGATGATGCTCATGATGATGACGATGATGATGCTTATGATGCCGATGATGCTGATGCTGCTGATGCTGATGCTGATGATGATGATGCTGATGATGTTGCTGATGTCATTGATGATGATGCTGATGCTGATGGTGATGATGACGCTGATGATGATGATGCTGCTGGTGACGCTGATGATGATGATGATGAATATGCTGCTACTGATGATGATACTGATGATGATGATTATGATGCTAGTGATGATGATGTTGCTGATGATGCTGATGATGATGCTGATGCCGCTGAGGATGATGCTGATGCTGATGCTAATGCTGATGATGATGCTGATTCTGCTGCTGCTGCTGCGGCTGATGATGATGACAAAAATGGTGATGGTGATGATGCTGATGATGCTGCTGCTGCTCGTTATAATAATACTGATGCTGATGCTGTTGATGATGATGATGATGACGATGTTGATCATGTTGATGATGAGGAGGATGATGACGATGATAGTGCTGCTGCTGATGCTGATGAGGATGAGGGTGATGTTGATGCAGATGATGCTGATGATGATGATGGTGATGATGCTGATGCTGATGATGATGATGATGATGATGATGATGATGGCGCTGCTGCTGATGATGATGATGATGAAGATTACGACGATGACGACGATGATGATAATGAGGAGGAGGTGGATGAGGAGGAGGAGGAGAAGGAAAAGGGGGATGATGCTGCTCATGCTGATGATGATGACGATGAGGATGATGATGATGATGATGATGATGATGATGATGATGATGAGGATGATGTTGATGCTGATGATGCAGATGACGATGATGATGATGATGATGACGATGATGATGATGATGATGATGATGATGATGATGATGGTGATGGTGCTGATGATGATGATGATGATGATGATGATGATGATGATGATGATGATGACGCTGCTGCTGATGATGATGAAGATTACGACGATGACGACAGTGATGATAATGAGAAGGAGGTGGATGTGGAGGAGGAGAAGGAAAAGGGGGATGATGCTGCTCATGCTGATGATGATGACGATGAGGATGATGATGCTGATGATGGTTGTGATGATCATGATGATGATGGTGATGGTGATGATGATGATGAGGATGATGATGCCGATGATGCTGCTGCTGATGATGATGATGATGAGGATGAGGATGATGATGACGATGATAACGACGACGATGATGATGACGATGATGATGCTGCTGATGCGGATGACTATGATGCTGCTGCTGATGATGCTGATGATTATGCTGATTCTGCTGTTGATGCTGATGATGAGGATGCTGATGATGATGATGCTGATGATGGTTGTGATGATAATGCTGATGATGGTGATGGTGATGATGATGATGATGATGGTGGTGGTGGTGGTGGTGATGATGGTGATGATGGTGATGATGGTGAGGATGGTGATGATGATGATGATGATGATGATGATGATGACGATGACGATGACGATGACGATGATGATGCTGATGATGATGCTCATGACGATGATGATCACGATGATGCTGATGATGATGATGCTGATGATGCTGCTGCTGATGATGCTGATGATGAGGAGGAGGAGGAGGAGGAGGAGGAGGAGGACCAGGAAAAGGGTGAATGAAGACGCGCCCCCCGCGTGCATCCCAGGGCCTTCTGTACCAGCCTTCGCCTGCGATGCGTGGAGGCCCCTCGGGGGACTTTCGTGCATCCTGGGGGCTTTCGTTCCGACCGCACCAGCGGTGCGGCCAGCACGAAAGCCCTCGGACAAGCGATCCCGGGGGGGCTTGCGCTCCACACCTGGCACTGGCCACAGCTGTCCCCATGTGCCAACGCGAAAGTGTTCGGCGGCGCGCACAGGGGGGTATGGGGAGGGGGGAAGGCTTCTTAGAAGCACCCCTGCTTCTTAGAAGGCGCGGGCCTTGTCTACAAATGTAAGGCCGGCGCCTTCTAAGAAGCAGCCTCCTTCTAAGAAGCCCCCCTCTGCGCGCCGCCAAAGTGTATCCTCCTTTTCTGCTCGACGTCTGTGGCCCGTTGGGCTCAGGCGCTCGGCCGATTTGAACAGCGGTTGGACGCTGGAGGTGGTCCTTGGGCGCCGCGCCCTCGACGCCGCGCCGCGGCGGATCCGAGGCGAGTGTCCCCCTGGCGCCAGCGACGTCGGGGCCCGCCTCGCCCCCGCGCTCGCGCGAGAGGAGAGCAGAAGGCGAGTGTCAGTCCTCCTCCTCCTCCTCCTCCTCCTGCGCCTCCTCCTCCTCCTCCTCCTCCCCCTCCTCCTCCTCCTCCTCCTCCTCCTCCTCCTGCGCCTCCTTCTCCTTCTCCTCCTCCTCCTCCTCCTCCTCCTGCTCTCCCCCTCCTCCTCCCCCGCTCCCCGGTGGGCGCCGCCACGTCGGGAGCCTACCTCTCCTTCCTGGCAGTCCCTCGCCTCAGCGTGCACCCCCTCGTCCAACCAACAAATCGTAACTTCTGTGGGCAAGGGTGTCGTGCCTCAGGATGCATGCTCACTCCCCCTCGAGCTCTGGATCATGCCTTGTCCGCCTTGGCTGAGGAGCAGTGCAGGGAGACCCCTCGCCATGGCCGGTTTCGTGCACGCTTTTGTGCTGCCAGCGTACAGATGGACGGATTGAGCTATTTCCGTGTGGCGCTACAGGCGAGCAGCGGACGTGGTCTCATTTGCGCCCGTCTGTGAATCCAGCCTGCAAGGATTGCATCCACCTGGGACGTCAAAACATCGCAGACGACGACCTATCCAGCAAATGATTGTGATTGGCAGATCCTACGATGCACGATTGTCTGGGCACCTCATGGATCGCGTTTGCTCGATCTTGTACGAAAAACTGGTCTCCGTCGGTCTCGTGCGCAACCGTCAGAAGCAGGAGGCGATCGTGCGCGTCCCCGCCAGCTCCCGCAGAGGCGCAGCTGTTATCCTTCGAGCTCCTGGCACCAATCAGGAGGAAAACAGCACACACAGACACAATTAATCGTCGACTCCCAGGAAAATATACGATATGGGAGGTGGGGGGAAGACAAGGATCCAGAAAATATGGGGAAATATGGGGTATCCTGTTATTTGTGTGTATTTATTTGTGTGTCCCAGGGCCCCTTCAACCAAAGTGGCAGATGATTTTCCTTACCTGGGACTTTGGGTTTTGCCGATGCAGTCCTTCGGCCCCGAGCTCTTGCAACGGATCCAAAAGATATGTCCATCGTTTCAGCAGGCTCGGGGGTTTTCGGTTTCTGAGAGGTGGGCCAACCCGATGGAAGCGCTGTATCTTACTCTGCTACATTGTGGATGCGGACTTGTTAGAGTGGAAGCCTTCATTCCAAGCGATGTTCAGGTCAACGATCTTTTCAGCTCGCCATCGCGGCTCTCGCTTGTAAAGCTATTATGCGTGGGGAGGCGAGCTGGGAGGATGACGAGGGACGCGCTCGTTCGCTTTCGTCTCTTGACGTGCTGAGGTGGTGGAGGATCGTTCCGGTATCGACCGAATTTCGTGTCCGACGGCTCCGCTGGCCTCAGGCAAGCGTTCGAAGACTTGGGGACCATCAGCAGTTTTTGGCGGCGTCAGTCTTTGGGACGACGACGTTCAACAGGGAGGGGGTTTTCGACGAGCCGGGTATGTGTCGGGAAACTGCTGTTCATTGGACCGTTCGAGGTCAGGATGACCTTCGGCACTTTGTTCAGTGGCTTTCTGAAGCTGCAGAATATTATAATCGTGCTGAAGGCTATGTTATTGATATATTTGATCCTGAAGTTTCATCAAACTGACTGAAAGTGGATCTGTCAATCCTACGCGGTGTGCATTGGACGGTCAAGTCCCCCCCGGGCTTCCAGAATATGATCATCTTGCTATTTCGACTGCGGCGGTTTGCACGGAGTTCACAACGTGTGTCCCTGGCCTTGCTGCTCTTCCAAATTCTCATCTAAGGGTGGCCCGATCAGCCATATCGCGCGATTACATGGGATGATCAGATTGTCCCAGGCCCCCACTGATACCAGCCCGTGTATCGCGTGCCGTGAGGTGTTTTGGAATAGAAAACGGCACAGCACACATCTTCACGGGCGCCCTGTTGTAACAGACGTTGCTTACGGAACAGCGCCACCACGTTTTGCCCCCTTCAGGAGTTTCGGGGCTTGGTCTGTAGCACGTGCGACTCTAACTCTGTTGGAATCTCGGACTACAGCGATCACGCGTGCTCCCATTTGCCGTTCACCCCGTGAGCCAGAGATGTCCACAGTCGATGTAGGGCTGTTCGGCGACGCGGAGATGCCCGAGTGGCTGTGCCCCGTGGGGAGCAAACGGGGGGCAGACGGCGGTGCAGGAAACGGCGGTGGCGGGGTTGGCGGGTGGCGGCGGCGAGGAGACGGTCACGACGAGAACCCCGTCTTCGTCGACGCGTTCAAGGCGGTGGCTCGCCTGTCGCTCGGCAGCGCTCGGCACATCGCGGACATCGAGGCGAACATCCGAGATACGTACCTGATCGGAACACGTGGTCCGCGAAGGCGGGCATGGCTGCGAACGCTCACATATCGCGGGCGACGGCGCTCAAGGAAAAGAAGGAGAAGGATCCCAGCATCGACCTGGCCAGCGCCACAAGAAACTCTCGACAGGTACTGGCGCGACCACTTTGAGGACAATGGCCCAGCGGACATCGTGCGCCTGATGGGCCATATTTCACATCAGCAGACGTGATGACAGAAGCCGAAGCGCATGGATGACAACATCAAGTTCCGGCTGAACGTCGCGCCGACCGGAGAGGCGGGCCCGCAGTTGTTCGAGATATCCCTGCAGGTGCTCGTCGAAGTGGACGCGGAGAGACTCGTAGGCGGACAGGCAGGTGCAGAAGTGACCCAACCAGCGCCGGTGAACATAGTGGCGATGAACCTACAGGCCCGTCTGAGATTTTTGTTGAAGATTGTGAAGGTAAAGTGATGGACCCGAGATGTGGTGGAGAAGTGGGTGCGTATGTTCATGAGTTCTTTAGGCCACGCCGCCCGACTCCGCTGCCCTCTTCAAGCTCATGCGAGCCGAGTGCCAGAGCCACCAGAATTTTGAATTGAACTCGTTCGGCAGTGCCTCGTGCGAGGGCTTCTTCGCAGCCCGTGACCTCACCCGTGACGGCCCCGCCTCCCCTCACTTTGCCTGCGCACTTTCCCACCACTGCTCGTTCTGCTCTTTTGACGGCCCGTGGCCCGATCGGAGACCTTATGGCTGCTGGAGGTGATGGGCTTGTGTGCGTGGGGGTAGGGGTGGGGTGAGGGGGGGGGGGGCGGGAGGGGGGTGGGCTGGGTCGGGAGAGGCTTGGGCGGAGCTTCTGGCGGCGGCGGATGCTGACCGAGCGGTGGGCCGCGGGGACCCGCCCCGCAGGAGACGACGATTTAGGTCACTTCAGAAGCGTGAGCGGCCCAATTGGCGCCTGCAGCCTGGGATTCGAGGCTGGCGCCCGCACGCGCCCCTCGTGGACATCCACCTACCCGGTTTTTTGCCTTCGGGGCCAGCAGCGGGGGCTCATTCAGCCCACCAGGAACCCCTTAATGCGATTTCAAGTTTGATTCGGCCAAATGGCCGCCGCAAGGATGAGTGCGTTTTTCCAGCAGTATAAAACAGCCTGTCTTTTTGGCTGTTGCTCGGGAGATCGTCCCCAGCGTTCAGTCCACTTCAGTTCGTCGTCGTCCGCCGTCTCCTCCTCCTCCTCCTCCTCCTACTCTTTCTCCATCCCCTGATGATGATGATGATGATGATGATGATGATGATGATGATGATGATGATGCTGATGCTGATGCTGATGCTGATGCTGATGCTGATGCTGATGCTGATGCTGATGCTGATGCTGCTGATGATGGCGATGCTGCTTATGATGATGACGATGAGCATTGGAATGACGATGCCAATGGTTAAGTATGACAAGGATTATGACCATGAGGGTGATGGTGATGGTGATGACGATGATGATACTGAGGTGATGATGCAACTAGTGGTGTTGATACGGATGAGGAGGGGGATGAGGGCGAGGAGTGGTACGATGATGAAGGTGATGATGATGATGATGATGATGATGATGATGATGATGATGATGATGATGATGATGATGATGGTGATGATAATGACGATGAGGATGATGATGCTGATTATGATGATGCTGCTGCTGCTGCTGATGATGATGATGATGATGACGATGATGATGATGATGATGATGATGATGATGATGATGATGATGATGATGATGATGATGATGATGATGAATACGATGATGCGACTGCTGATGTTGATGTCGATGCTGATGGTGCTGATGTGGATGTCCATGCTGATGCTGATGCTGATGCTGCTGCTGCTGCTGCTGATGGTGCTGTTGTGGCTTCTGCTCCTGATGGTGATGGTGATGGTGAGGAGGAGGAGGAGGAGGAGGAGGAGGAGGAGGAGGAGGAGGAGGGGGGGGAGGAGGAGGAGGAGGAGGAGGAGGAGGAGGAGGAGGAGAGGAGGAGGAGGAGGAGGAGGAGGAGGAGGAGGAGGAGGTGGACGAGGAGGAGGAGGAGGAGACGGATGATGGTGGTGATGGTGATGCTGGTGGTGATTGTGATGGTGTTGATGATCGGGATGACGATGATAATGATGCTGATGATGACGAGGAGGAGGACGAGGAGGAGGAGGAGGACTAGGAGGAGTAGGAGGAGGAGGAGGAGGAGGAGGAGGAGGAGGAGGAGGAGGAGTAGGGAGGACAAGGAGGAGGAGGAGGAGGAGGAGGAGGAGGAGGAGGAGGAGGAGGAGGAGGAGGAGGAAGAGGAGAACGCAGAGGATCTTAGCATCTCCGAGGCAAAGCCCCCGTTCTGCAGCTAGTGCTTGATAAGGACCCTGCGCCCTCCGATATCGTCAGTCGTGTTTTGGAGGCCCAGGGTAGGCTGAGTGCAGGGTTTAAGTTCTATGCCCTTGTCTCGCTCCAGCTGCACGAAGGTTCGCTCGTGGTTGGATGCACCTTGCTGTGCTTGTTTTGCTTCCTCGCCTGTCTGTAATCTGGCCTCGCCTTGTCCCCCGCAGGCTCCGGACTGGGCGGGGTCAAGTGTCTCAAGAGACCTTGCAAGTGTGTCTCGGTGTCAGGGTGGATCGAGTTTTGGGGCAGGCTGCGCCCAGGAGGCGGAGTAGGAGAACGCAGCACAGCAGCACGAAGAGCTCCTCGCGGGCCGGCAGCGCCTCCGCGGCCCCCGGGCCGCGCCTGCGCAGCCCCTCGGCGGGAGGGCGCCAACACGGCGTGTGCGTGGCCGCGCGCCGGCCTCCTCCTCCTCCTCCTCCTCGTCCTTCTCCTCCTCTCCTCCTCCCTTCTCCTTCTCCTCCTCCTCCTCCTCCTCCTCCTCCCTCTCCTCCTCTCTCTCCTCTCCTCCTCCTCCTCCTCCTCCTCCTCCTCCTCCTCCTCCTCCCCCTCCTCCCCCAGGCCGCCGCCCCGCCGCCCCGCTGGCGCCCCGCCGCGCTCCCCCCCTCCCGCCCGGCGCGCCAGGCGGGCGCTACTCGTGCGCGCAGGTGCTCGTCCAGAGGCGCGGCCGCGTGCCCCTGGGGGTGCGGGCAGGAGGGGGCGGGCCGCCTCAGCAGGCTCGGAAGGTCGCTGGCCTTCTAGAGAAGAACGTCGGGGGTTCCAGGCATTAGGGGAACAAGAAGTGGCATACACATAACTCAGGAGGAAAAGAAGCACACAGACACAATTCATTTTCGATTCCCCAGAAAATATGGGAAAATATGGGAAGTGGGCGGGAAGACAGAAACCCAGAAACTATAGGAAAATATGGGGAATCTTTTTATTTGTGTGTATTTATGTGTGTGTCCCAGGGCCTCTTCAATAACATCTCGGAGGTCCGCGTGGATTTCCCGGATCGGCGCCGGGGCCCCCCGGCGGCACCTCCGGTGCCGCCCCTGGCGCGCTCCGCGCGCCAGGGAGGGGGATCCAGCGCCGATCCGAGAAATCCGCGCGGACCTCCGAGTTTTTATGTTGATGCCACTTTCTGTTTCCCTAAGACGGTCGCTGGCCTTCTAAAGAAGAAAGTCGGTGGTTCCAGGGATGGGGTTCTGGGGACGAGGTGCCTCAGACAGCGCTAAGCCCAAACAGCGTACATCCACCCTCGGATCACTTCCTATCCTCAGGACCCCATCCTCAGAACCCCATCTTTGAACCATCGAGAAAACACAGAAAGTAACCCTTCGGGGTTCATCGGATTTCTCGGATCGGCGCTGGGGCCCCCCGGCGGCGCCTCTTGCGCTGCCCCCGGTGCGCTCCGCAAGCCTCGGAGGTGGGTGCAGCGCTGATCCAAGAGATTCGCGCGGCCCTGCTAGATATTCTGGAAGTCTTTGAACGTGTCTTGAGCCAATCTTATCAAGGCACCGTCTTTTTTGTTGTTTTTCTTCTTGTCTCGTCTCTGCAGGGAGCTGTATGAGCCTTCCAGGCTTCTGTTCTGAGGAGGCCTGCCCCCTCTCGCTTCCCCTCTTTGGCACGCCGCCGACAGGCGCCTGCCGTTCCTGGCTGGACGCTCCTTGGGCCAGGTTGGGCGGGAGGGCGTCGTCGATTCGTAGGAGTCGTCGCCGCTGCCGTCGTTCCGGAGACTTTCGCTAGCCATGTGGGAGTTCTCGCGGCCCCAGCTGTCGGAGGAGGGGAAGGTACCCATACCTTTACCCTTCCCTCGTGCTCCCCCTTTTTGGGCCTCCTGGGAGGCCCTCGTCGCCACCGCTGGATTCGCCTCGAAGTTCTGGTCAGAACGCACCCTGGTGGAGGTCGGGGGAGTGGCGATGTCGGCACCTGCTGGTTTCCCCAGCTGGGCGCAGCTCGAAGCCCAGGCCAGGACGGGCCCTGGGGGGGGGGGGTCTGGCAGCGGATGTGGAGCGGGCTCTCATCGGGCTGCGACCGCCCCACCAGGTCGGTTGTGGGGGTCGGGGAGTGTCGTTACCGACGCCATCTCGCGGGGCTCACCGTGACCGCCTGCGGCTTCTCCAGAGAGAGAGAGAGAGAGAGAGCCTCGCGCTCTCGAGGGATCGAGAGGTTCGCACCCGCGTGCCCCCGCCGACGCCTTCCTCTTTCCCTATAGCTCCCCGGTGTGCCCCAGTCCTGGCGAGGCCCGGCAGCTTTCCGCACGCGTCGACGACTGCCCGTCGCTGCCCAACCACAGCAAGCTCAGATCCAGGCTCGTATGCTTTCCATCGGCTGCCAGGCCTGACTGCGCTCCCAGGGGCAGCTTGTCTGAACATG